GCCGGGTTTTACCTTCGTCTCTTTTGCTGTCTAATGTTACCCTCCCACTGCTCCATCCCCAGACACCGATCTGGTATTTCCCTCCTTCTGTCCCAGGAAAGCAGGACCGTTTCGACAGTCCCCAAATACTGGTGACGCCCTTGGCCTGTAACTCTTCCCACTGGAATAAAAGCCTTGCCACTTTTGTAGATCCTGCCATGGGGTACTTTGGACCAAAGCAAGCTCCCTACAGGAGGGAAGTCAGTTGACCAACTATCACTCGAGTTTCCAAGTCCCTTGAAGAGACCAGAGTCACTTCCCTGTTTATGCTCTTTATTAGTCCCTGTTCTCTTTAATCGGCTTAGACTGATGAGCCGAGGCAGCAGCAGGGATCAGTCGGGCTGTTTAATTAAAGGATTGCAGCTCAGCCCTGCAGTTTGGGGGCTTGTATAAATGAGCTGCAAGTACATTATTTAATCTGCTGCACAGAGAGGAGTCAAGGCATTAATGAAGCAAACTCTAATTAAAACTAGATGGCTGACAGTTATTAGCAGCATCAGTTCTGACAGGATTGATCTCATTTAGGAAAATGTCTGATCTTGGACAAAAAGGGGGACAAAAAAACCCAACCCGGGTTATCTAATAGATAGCAGCACCACACTGTTGGGACCACATTGTTATGAGACAGACACCAGCACACAGCCTACATTTAAAGATTGCTCACTGAAAAGGAGTCATGTCTGTATCTGTTTCTGGCCCCTACACAGCTGGAGAGGTACCTGCCCTCTTTATCTTCCCCACACAAACTTCTCTCATGGAGAAGCTGGTGGGAAGCTATGCTTTATTGCTTTGGGGAAGGGAAGAGGGGTCCCTATAGGATCTTATCACCTATTTTCCTTTTCATTTCTTTCCTTTCCATCATCCTCAAGGTTCTGGGTCATGGAAATCCACCCGCCTTTTAGCCAATCAATGCTGCTCCGGGGTCAGCTACAGGCAGGAGAGCGGGGCAAGATTTGGGGGCAGCTCCGGAGCCTCAGGCAAAAGGGGCTACCAGCCCTCAGTGCTACCTCGAGTATGGCACCCCCTCTCCCAGCCCGTAGAGCCACCCGGAGCATGCCACGGCCATTTAAAGGGCCCGGGGCTCTGGGTTCTGCCTTTAGAATCGTTGGGCCTTGGGACACTTGCTCCCTTTGCCCTCCCTCTCCCCAGTCTCTCAGCAGGCCTGGCTGTGAGGAGAGCACATGATAACAGTGACATGAGGGGCTTTCTTAGCTTCGTGGGCTGGATGAGCATATTGCACCGACAGTGTCTGGCATCCTGAAAGCAGGGGAGGGCTAAGACACTGAGCTCAGGACCCAGACTTGGACTGCCCACAAGGCAGAGTCATTCCTCAAGCCCGGAGGGCCTTTGTATCACTGGCTTATAGCAATACCTGGGAACCTCCCAGCACTTCTTCCTCTTTCCAGGAAATATGCTTCCTCGGCACGATGGCCAAGCTATGAGGAAGCTGCTGTGGACTGTCGCACCAGAACTGCGAGGGAGACTGGCTCTGTGCGAAGGAAGGAGGGAGACAGGGTAACAGGCAGCACATGCTAACGGGCAAGGTCAAGGCATGAGACAGACAAAGAGACAGTTACGTAAAAGGGTATAACCAGGAGCCCAAATTATGAAGTTTGTGGGGGAAGTTTGGACCGTGACCTAATTCCAAGCTCCATGGGCTGGGCTCAAGCGCAGGCTTCAGCATGACAAATACTAGGATGCTTTCAAACAAAGTATTGCAGATAGGGTTGCCAGATGGTTTCAATAAAAAATACCAGACATACGTGACATTACATCACAATCTACATGACATCTTATTTAGAAAATACCGGACATTTATATTTTCTCAATTTGTTTCCCAAACAGCACTACTGGACTGTCCAGTTCAAAACCGGACACCTGGCAACCCTAATTGCAGAATAATTTCTACTGCCTCCATTCACCCAGCAGACATAGAGGTAGGAATTCTGTGTCTCCCCAGCATTACTACAAACAGCAAGTGAGTCTGAAACATTATGGGCTTCAATTATTTGCAATATCTTTGCCAGTGCTGTAAGAAGTTAGTGGGTTAATGAGAAGGATTGTGGGTTAGGCACCCTGCAACTCACCATAGAGTTTAAGACCTTCTGGGAGTGACTAAGCCCTGCAGACCAGGGACACATAGGCTTAGTCTATACTGCAGGGTTATTGCACAAGAAGCCTTTTGCAGAAGAGTTCTTGTGCAAAAACTTCTTGTGCAAAAGCACGTCTAGACCTCAAAGTGCATCGCAAAAGTGATGTGCTTTTGCACAAGAGAGTGTCCACACTGCATTGATGCTCTTGTGCAAGAAAGCTCTGATGGCCATTCACAAAATGGCTATCAGAGCACCTGTGCTTTTTCCCATACGGGTTTCTTGCTCAAAAATGCCTCTGGAGGGTCCACACCTGCCTTTTTGCGCAAGAGCTGTAGCGCAAAAAGGAGTTATTTCTCGTGGGGAGAGGAATAAGGCTACGGGCAAAAGTCCTCTATTCTGTCAATTTTCTTGCGCCAAAACATGCTTGAGGTGCAGACACTCGGCCATTTTTTGTGCAAAAACAGTTGTTTTTGCACAAAAACCTTGTAGTGTAGACATAGCCATAAGGTTTACACTGCAATGGGAGCCCCACAGCTGTTCAGGTTTGCAGGGCCTGAGCCATGGAGCTATAACTCTGCAGCTTAGGTATTTGGGCTCAGGCTGGATCCCAGGCTCTGAGGCCCTGTGAGGTGGGAGGGTCCCACAGCCTGGGCTGCAGCCCAAACATCTACATGGCAATTGTATCGCCCCACAGCCAGAGCTCGCATTAGCTGAGCGGGGCCAGCTGTGGCTCTGCTGCGGGCCTTTCATCACAGTGTAGCTATATCCACAAAGGACTAAAAACTAAGCCAGAAAAACACCCACAAACACATTAGAAATGAGGTGGCATAGGGAGCAGACAGAAAGAGGGCAGAGCCCAAAGGGTTGTGGGCATTGAAAGCTCAGGCTAAAAGTGGTCTCAGTCAAGCCAAGCAAAGCACATGACCCAGAGTTTTATCCTTCCAGAGTTGCAGGTGAGAGGCCCAACTGTCTCTATCGTAGCAATCTCCAGACGTAACCTCTTCATGGGGCTTACATCCCCCATCACAGTCATTGAAGTTTGGCTCTAGACCCCACTCAAGGCTTAGGCAACCCTCCCCAAGTGTTGGCCCTCATCACTGAAGGCCAGTTCAGCACAGAGGCTTATCCTTATCTTCCTGCCACATTTAGTCTTGGCTACTCAAGGGCAGGAGGCAGCTCACTCTCCCTGCCTCTCCCTGAGTACGGCAGGACCCCACACATCCCCCGAATGCATGTGCCCATTTGTTCTCTTCACAGCTGTCCAGTTCTCAAACGTGCCATTGAAGGGTGAACAGAACACAGAGGCTGTTCCAGTGAGCAGGACAAATGAAGCCAAAGGTATACTGCAGACCACTGCAACTCACCTGTCCTCCCTCCCCACTGGAGCCAGTCCCAGGAATGCTGGCTTCCAATGTTAATGTCAGAGATCAGATGAAAGACTCCACCAATGGGATATAAATCTCCAAAAACAAGCCCTCTAGGTGCCAAAAGCGGGCGTATGAGAGGCTAAGAAAAGAAGGTGCATGGGTCTGGGTGAGACAGAGAAGGACAGGCAAATGTGAGAGAGAGGGTGCTGGGAATGGGTGATGATGAAAGAGTACATGGAGAGTGGCGGCTGCATCCGTCTTGGCATTTTGTCTAGCCCAGGTGTTTCTGAGATCCCTGACAGCATCGTATCTCAGTGCTGCGACAGTGTGAGAGAAGGGAGAGCAAGGCTTAATGTGGACTAGGACACCCAGCCCAGCTAAAGTGGTCAGACATCTCTCAGGTGGAGCCATTGCTGACAACAGCCAGGGGAGAGAGTGAAATACAGTCATGTCAAAAGCTGCACTTTCCAGTAGCAAAGTGGGAATGCCTTAGGACCATACCCCTCCCTTAGGGCATTTCCTAGCATGCTGTCTGCTGTTTTCAAGACAGGATTTTCCTATCGGTGGAACTGTAGGAAGTGACATTAGGGACTGGTTTTGTTTGTGCACTGCTGGCTGGAAATGGATCTCCAGAATGTTTTTGATTTGCCCTTTTTTTTTTTTTTGGACTTTGGGGATCGGTTCTGATGCCACCTGCCAAGCAGGGAGGGTTGCATCAGTCTCAGCTGCATGGTCAATGTGGGTCATTAACATGTTAACAGGTATGCAGGCTGGTACCATTACAAATTACCCTTCACTGGCAAATTCAGCCCACCTGGCAACAGCTAAAATAGCATTAAAACAAGCTGTCCCACCCATGACATTTGTTATGAAATACCTTTGTTGGGATTTCTGTGATACCAGCGTAAGCCCTAAGCACTGATGGAGGGGGTGAGGGTGAGAGAGTGAGACCAAGTGTGTGCATGTGTGTGTGTGTGTGTGTGTGTGTGTGTGTGTGGTGGTTGAAGTATGTGACTGTAATGTATCGGGTGGTGTATCTGAGAGGCTATGTCTACACTATTGAATTTTTCCAGGATTTCCCTGAAAAACTGCTGCGTCCAGGGAATGTATCAGCTTTTTAAAAACAGTTTCCAGAAAAGCGGGCATGTTCTTACAGAAGCCCTGTATTCCTCATTTTATGAGGAATAAGGGCTCTTTTCCCACATTTGGCCAAATGTAGATGGGCCAAATGTGGGAAAAGCCTCTTCTGAAAAAAAAAGCAGAAAAAGGTAAGCAAATTGCAGTTTGCAATTTGCTTATATTTTTCCAGAAGAAGATCGCAGTGTAGACATAGCTGGAAAGAAGAGTGAGGGGTGTATGAGGAAGAGCGATGTCGGAGGCAGGTTTATAGGTGGGATGGGGTGAATGACAGCAGGGTGTGGGCTGTGTATATGGGGCAGGTAGGAGAGTGATGAGGTAGTGGGATGGAAAGAAGATGCCCATGGTGACAGCAATCTCCCACCTTGGTGAGGAGTCCAGAGATGAAGGCTTCTGCTCTGCATCAGCTGCTGGGCAACAGAACTGGTGTAAAACAGTTTCATTCCTGTAAGAGAAGACAAACAGTGGCAGGTAAGAGTTCAGCTCAGTCTTTGGCAAGTTCATGGGACACTGTCCTGTCCAAGTCTGTTCCTGGGCACTGCAGCTGTTCAGTGATGGTGGCTTTTCACAACTGAGGAGAAATCAGATTACAACATGAATCCTTTTAATCAGGAGATAAGGAACAAAGCATGACAAAAGGGAGCAGCCATCTCCCTGTCCCTCCTTTACACAGCACAGTAGTAGTGGCCAGGCATGTGGAGTGAGGCAAAGTGTTTCAAAGGAAAAGCTTTCTTTTCTAAAAATGTCAAAGAAAGATGTAATGAAATACAGTTGACTTTTTTTTTTTATTTCAGTTTTGCTGAAAGTGGAACAAAATGCTTGCTTTGATGCAGAGAAGAAAATGGGAAGACAGGATCAGAACACAAAGGAGACAGAGTTACTCAAATACTTAGCTGATGTAAAAACTTAAAAAACAACAGATAGTCCTGCAGCATCTTAAAGGCTAACAAAACATGTAGATGGTATCATGAGCTTTTGTGGGCACAACCCACTTCTTCAGATGTCAATTATTCTATCTCCAAGTCAATGGAGCTACAGATTTATACCAGCTGAGAATCTGCTCCTTCTGTGATTTAATGGTGTTTTGCCTGATTCTAGCCCAGCATTGACAAGAAAACTGAAAAAAAATCCTTAGCTGTGGATGAGGAATAGGTCTGAAATGTTCTCTTCAGACCCCGCCACAGCTCTCCTCCCTGAGAGAGTAGACAAGTTCACCCTCCTTTTCTGAGAAAAGTTAACAGACACAGCCATGAGCACAGCCAATCCATAGAGACAGCAGCAATCCTACTGCCTGCTCCCATCACCTGGCATTCCCAGCTAGTTTTCTGTCACAAGCCCTTGCAGCTCTGTTGCATCCTTTATTTACTTCTAATGCTCATTCTGAAAATGGTCTCAGAAGTGAAGGCTGTTTAAAAACAAGATGCCCAGGAGAGAGATGGGGAAAGAGAAAGTTTGCCTCACTTCACTGAACCCGCCCCTTATAAAATCATAGAATATTAGGACTGGAAGGGATCTCAAGAGGTCATCAAGTCCAGTCCCCTGCCCTCATGGCAGGACCAAGCACTATCTAGACCATACCTGATAGGTGTTTGTCTAACCTGCTCTTAAAAATCTCCAATGCTGGAGAGAGTCCACAGTTTCCCAATTTATTCCAGTGCTTAACCACCCTGACAGTCAGGAAGATTTTCCTAATGTCTAACCTAAACTTCCCTTGCTGCAATTTAAGCCCATTGCTTCTTGTCCTATCCTCAGAGGTTAAGGAGAATAACTGTTCTCCTTTCTTCATGTAACAATCTTTCAGGTACTTGAAAACTGCTATCATGTCCTCTTCTCTTCTCCAAAGTAAATACATTGTTTTCAATTTTGCATTATAGGTCATGTTTTCTAGACCTTTCATCATTTTGTTGCTCTTCTCTGGACTTTTTCCAATATGTTTACATGTTTACTGGGCAGAACTGGACACGGTACTACAGTTGAGGCCTAATTAGAGCAGAGTAGAACTGACAGATTACTTCTGCTTTTTTATTTACAACTTTCCTGCTAATGCAACCCAGAATGATGTTTGCTTTTTTGCGAGTGTTACACTGTTGATTCATATTTAGCGTGTGATCTACCATGACCCCCAGGTCCCTTTCTTCCATACTCCTTCCTAGGCAGTCATTTCCTATTTTGAATGTGTAAAACTGATTGTTCCTTCCTAAATGGAGTACTTTGCATTTGTCCTTATTGAATTTCATCCTTTTTACCTCAGACCATTTCTCCATATAGATTATATTTCCTTAGTTTAATGAGAAGGTTGTGTGAGGCTGCATCGAATGCCTTACTAAAGTCTAGATCAGCATTTCTTAAAGTGTGTTCTGCGGCAGCAGTCGGAGGTGTGCCGCAGGGATATGGTGACCATATGTCTCTTTTTTTTCTGGGACAGTCGCGGATTTAAAGACACCCAGCACTAGAATGGTGCAGCAGCAACTCCCCACCTCCATCCAGCACCTAAGTGGCTCTTTGCCGCTTTTCGCGGGCAGCCATGGTTGCTGCCAGTGGTGCGCAGTGTCCAGAGCTCCGAGCTCACATGCAGTGCCCCCCGTGTCCACCTGCGTGGCCCTTCCCTCCCGCTGCGGGATTGCCTCTGCCGTGTGCGGCTGCCAGCTTAGCCTCCTCTATCCACAGGCAGCTGCCACCGCTGCTGGAGCAGGAGGGGCGCTGGTTGGGGGTGAAACCCGGCAAGCTGTTCCTGGGAGCTGCTGCCGGAGTCCCGGCAGGGAGCGCGCAGAACCCGGCTGAACGCTGCAGAGCGGGGTACACTTGGGCTCTGCTGGTGCACTCTGTGCATGGCCCTTTCTCCCACTGCCCCTTCCCAGCACCAGAGGAGAGATGCAGGGCAGGTGTGCAGAAGGAGATGTTAGGATAGGAGATGAGGAGGAGTAGCTACACATGATCAGAGTGGGGATACTTGAGGAGTGGGCAGAGGGGGGAGAGAAGGGCTGGTGCAAGGAGGGGTGCAGGTCCCATGAGGGCTGAGGGCAGTGAGAAGGGCAAGAGTCAGGACAGCAGAGAAGGGTGAGGGTTGGGGGGGCAGCAGGCACCGGGGAGCTGATGGAGTAAGGGGAGGAGACAGGGCAGCAGAGGGAGAAGTGAGAAGGTTATAAGATATTATTAATAACTTGAGTGCCACAGTGGTACATTCAAACAAGCCACATGAACTCAATACTAGTGCACAACACAAATTCATTCAGCTCATGGAAGAAAATCTTAGAGGAAAAACTTCCCCCAGCCTCCACCTCCCACCCCCCAGTTAATGTGATATAAATTGGGTTAATGCAATTTCAGGATAGTTGCATGAGGGGGGTTTGGTGGGGGCCAAACTCATCCCTATTGGTAGTATGGTGGGAAAATATGATGGGAAAAGTTCTTAGAGGGGGTCACACGACACCTTTTACTTCTGGTCATGTGTCCATCTTGACCCTGAGAGTCAGGGGCATGGTTAACAGGGGATGTGGCTAATGTGTCCCTAATTTTGGTTCAGAAAATATAGTCACCACACACATAGAGAACAGAGTTCAAATGGCTGCCCTTAAAGAGGCAAGCCTTTTTTTTTTCTCAACAAAAGAAAATCCTTGTTGTTTCCCATAAAAAAAATATATTGTTTGGTGTTCCTCAGTCTTAAAAAGTTTAAGAAACACTGATCTAGATACAGCACACCTACCACTTCCCTCCTATCTACAAGACTTGTTACCTTATCAGAGAAAGCTATCAGGTCGGTTTGACATGATTTGTTCCTGACAAAGCCATGCTATTTCTTATCACCTTATTATCTTCTAGATGTTTGCAAATTGACTATTTAATTATTTGTTCCATTAGTTTTCCTGGCACAGAAGTTAAACCGACCGGTCTGTAATTCCCTGGGTTGTCGTTATTTCCCTTTTTATCTATGGGCACCATGATTGACTTTTTCCAGTCTTCTGGAATCTCTCCCATCTTCCATGACTTTTCAAAGACAATATCCTCTGCTCCAGCTCTGTTCCTACAACATAAATGACTCACTGTAAAACAGGGGTGGGGAATTTAATGCCTGGGGGCCGGATGCTGCCCCTGGCTTGCCTGGATCCAGTCCCCAAGGCTCAGGGCTCCCCCCCAGCATAGGGGAGCCAATCTTGATTCTCTGTCCTCCCCTTGCTATCCCTCCATGGGGCTGGAGCACACAAAATCTAGCTTGGGCCCCTCTAGGCTCTGCTGTGCGAGGGGAATGTGGGGAGTGTCTTTCTCCTTCTCAATCAGGGGCCACATCAGTGAGGATTTGTTTTTGTTTGGGTTGGGTTTTTTGCTTCTCACTTTTGTGTGGCCCCCACCTGATTTTTCTGTGGGTCGATGGCCCCCAACCCAAAAAAGGTTCCCCACACCTGCTGTAAAAGAAGCTACCATGATGTATTTTTGTGCCACATCAAATGTATCTCCTGACCTTCCATTGTGGTAACCTCCTACCTACCAGGTAAAGCAGATGGTCAGTACCTGATAGCACCAAGTCATATCTTCCCCTCCCCACACATAGAGCTCCCACATTGGTCTTGTGCCCCCCACCCAGGAGTGTTCCCCAGGGCTCTAACCCCAGGCTTGTGAACTCCCCACCCCCCCATCCTTCAAGGTTGATCTCCAGAGCCCTCTCCAGTCCCCACCCTCCCAGTCTCTTTTCCTCCCCAGTCCACCTCCAGTTGCCCCCTTCTGTCACATTCTGGCCTCCCATCTTTTCCCAAGAAGTGCTATCCGGAACCTTCTCCCTACCCCCTGCTATCCCAGCACCCAAAGGGGCACGTCGCTGTAGCTGGATTGTAGTTCAGTAGCCTAATCTCCCAGCTGTGAAAAGTACCCACATACTCTTGCACACTCACAGCCTGCTTTGCTGCCCAGATCCCAGCTCATACCCATTCTTCTTTCCTCCCAAACACCATCTCTGCTACTTGGCTCAAAGGGGGGGTGCAGAAGAACTTTCAGGTGGGCAAGCAGCAATGCCCAGCAGCTCTGGCCAGCCCCACACTCCTGTTTCCAGCTGAGGGGAAAATGGACACCCTATCTAGTATGCTTGACTCTGTGCTGCACATGCTTCCTCATTAGCTGCACCATTCAAATACCAGTAATAATCAATAATGAAGAGAAGAAAAGGAGAGACAGGAAAGGACTGCATAGAGCTAAGGGGAAGTGAAAAAAGAAGGAAGATAGTCAAAACGGCAGTCAATGAGAATCATAAGTATTTATAAGGCTGCTGTTGGCATGTAATCTAAGTACCAAGAAAGGAAAGTGTGAGGAGAAGCACAGAGAAAAGGGGGACAACGCACAAACGTGGGAGGAAGAAAGAACAGTGAATAGTCACTGTAGCTGAGACCTCATTCGTCTGTGTAGACAGCAAGAAGCCAGAAACACTCCAGAAATGAATCTGTGTGCTCAGAGGGGGAGGGGACTAACAGCAAGTTTCCAAAGTCACC